AAAAAAATTGATTAAATGTAATAAAAAAATTATTTAAATTTTTTAAATAATTCAAAAGCATTTTTAAATATTATGTTTTTATAAATTCAAGAGTGAGGTTTTGAAAACAAAATTCTTTCTTTTTTTATATGTTTTCCCATAATTGATAAGTCAAAAATGATATGATCAAAGTCAAGGTCCTTAATATTTCTTCAATACTTTTCCTTTGGTTTAGTCTACCAAAATACCTAAAGCTCAATCCTAATTTCCAAGATGCATGCGGTACCATATTCGTCCTCTTCTGGTTATTGTCAATCTTGCTCAATCGTGCCGGTACAATAATTTCTTTAAATTCATTTTTTTTTATCTCCTTTGGTCTACTAAAGCTCAACCCCTCATTTTCTAAATTTGTGGGCTAATCATCAAACTTGCATGCGTTGCCTCTGAAACATTGAAACCAATTCGCCAAGTGGATTTTCTAATTTTCTATGGTTTCAGTAATTAAGATTTGGCATAAACATGAAGCAATCAACCTTTTTGCAAAGCTTCCAACAGCTTATCTTTACGTATTGCGTGGAAATGTGAAGCATAAATGATACTTGTAAATTTGTCTTCTTGAACTATGGTCAACTAGACAAGATTGATCATGAATATTTGAGTATTAAAAAGTCATACATTCAAAGCATTCAAGTATCATGTTAGTTACACTCGAATATTTGATACATTGATTGATACATAAACTTTTTAGTTAAAGTAAGGTTTGAATTTTCTTTCTCAAATCTTAAAAAAAGAAAATTATTGCAATTGTTGATTGAATGAAACTTTACTATCTTTCATTTTCATTATGCATTTGATAAGATTAAGATTATACAATTACCCATGTTACGGGTTGAAACTTAAGCTCAACTCTATACATGCTTGATAGGTAGTGAAAGACTCATATTTACATACTAAAAACTCATTCAATTTTTTATTGATGTGAGATTTGTGACATTTTATTTTATCTAATTATATAACGTTTTCATTGCACTAACTCTTTGCCTGTAAAAAAAAAGGATTCTTATGCTAATTCAGGTATACTTTAACCTTTATATCTCTTATAGGGGTTCAAATCAATAAATTTTAAGTATTCTAATACTAAATGCGAGTCAAAACTTAAGTATAGTTTTATATGATCTTGAATTTTAAAATAAAACTTAAATAAATTTATAAATCATGAACTCACCTCCTCAATATAAAAGATATATTCAATAAATTATGAAAGATACATGTTTATATATTTTGAACTCATTTTTTATTGACATGAAATTGGTGACATTCCAACCTTGGAGCAGTGGACCAGGCCTCATTCATGGGCTTCATGGAAATTAGTCAAGCTAACCCCATATAAACTGACCCTCTCAGAATGTAAGTAATCAAACTATGGGCTTTTTATCATCAACTACTACTGCAAATATGCAGTGACTCTTTTCCTTGCCATCTTTTTCTTCCTCCATCGCCTCCAAAGCACTTCCAAACTTCAAACTTGCCCAAAAAGTAGTAGTAAAGGAAGAAGCACCAGAAATCTGTTACGATGCTGTACATTATATTCTTTTGCTGATATGTGAAAAATCCCAAAACACCCACCATAAAAAGGAGAAAAGAACAGAACTTTGAGCGAATTCAATCGAAAGATGATTCCCACAAAGCCTTTGCAACGCAGCCACAGTGCCATGGTACACCAAGTATTATCAATAATGCTCCAAAACCGACCCTTTGATTCCCAACTCGCTTCCTCAACAACCTCAAATCCATGGACTACAGATTCAGTTTCGGACATCTTAAGATCCGTTTCAAAATTCTTCTTCCAATCCCCTCGTTCCATTGGCTGCCAGAAAGGTTTCCGGCACCGTGCTCCTTTAAAACAAAGAAACATCAAGCAAGAAAATTTTAAGAATTCCCACAATGTTCTTGTCCTTGGCCCTGCTGCTTATAGAGACCCCAAAAGGGTAGCTTTAGGATTAGATAAAGCAATGGAATTCTATATCTGGGTAGAAAATTTTTTTGGGTTTGCCCATGATGAGAAAACTTGTAAAGAAATGGCCTTTGTTTTGGCTAAAGGTAATGACTTGAAGGGCCTTTGGCATTTTCTCAAAGAAATGTCCAGGAGAGAAACTTCGGGGCTTGTTACTACTTCTACTGTCTCCTGTTTGATTAAAGTTCTAGGAGAAGAAGGGTTAGTTACTGAAGCATTGGCTTGTTTTTATAGAATGAAGCAGTTCCGTTGCAAACCTGATGTTTTTGCATATAATATGATTATTCATGCTCTTTGTAGAGTTGGGAATTTTAACAAAGCAAGGTTCTTGTTGGAACAGATGGAGTTACCAGGGTTTATTTGTCCACCAGATGTGTATACTTATACGATTTTGATAAGTTCTTATTGTAAATTTAGTGTGCAAACTGGATGTAGAAAGGCGATTAGGAGGAGGCTTTATGAGGCGAATCACTTGTTTCGGCTAATGTTGTTCAAGGGTTTTGTTCCTGATGTTGTGACTTATAATTGTTTGATTGATGGTTGCTGTAAGACGTATCGAATTGAAAGGGCTTTGGAACTTTATGATGATATGAATAAACGGGATTGTGTTCCTAACCGGATCACTTATAATTCTTTTATTAGGTACTACTGTGCTGTTAATGAGATTGATAAGGGTATTGAGATGATGCGCAGGATGCAACAGATGAATCATGGGGTAGCAACTAATAGTTCTTATACTCCCATTATACATGCTCTGTGTGAAGCGGGAAGGGTGTTGGAGGCTAAGGATATTCTTCTTGAGTTGGTCAGAGGGGCATCTATTCCCAGAGAGTATACATATAAGTTAGTTTGTGATACACTGAATTCAGTAGGAGCGGCCAATTTGATAGATAATGAGGTGCATAAAAGAATAAAAGATGGTATAGCGAGCAGATGTAGGCAAGTGATGAAGGTGAAACAAATAAAGATCACATAATAATGATGAGGATTGTTGAGGAAGCTTAATTTTCAGGAAAAGCTAATTGTGCTCAACCATGTAAAGCACTGCAAACAAGAGGATTTAGTTGTTTGTTGGGGCTCTCTGGTGGTAAGTATTATTACAGAATGAATTGAATTTGCTTTCTGCTTCACAAGGCTGGAGTTTTGTTTGAGACTTCTAAGTTTAAAGCTATAAGCAGTTGTACTTTCTGTAAACATATAATTTCCTGTTTTTTGGTGATCATGCTTTTTGATTTTTCATAGTATTTTCAATTGAATGGTCCTGCTTCCAAGTTATCCATCTAGCGTGTGAACTTGTGTACTACAAAAAAATTGTTTACAAGAATTTCAACCAAGTGGTTTTTCTGGAAGTTTTATATTTATACATTGCATTTTTTTTCTTCCTTTCATTCTATTTTCTCATCCCTTTTACCATACATGGTATTCATGTTGACACCTTTGATGATAATTATGGGTTAAAGGCAAAGTTGAAAACAATTCAATTTCTAAAAATTTTATAAAAGAGGAGATCCCAGTTCACTCTACATATGTTGAGAAACATAACAGGACAGTCTAAGCTATTCCAGATTACCTTTTTTAGGATCATTACTTCAATTCCTTCATTAAAGGTTGTCATTTTCAATTTTTAATGCACAAAGAATCTGCTTCCTCTGTTCTGTCAAAATTTCTAGTGTTAGAATGGTTTGGTTGGCTTCATTAAGGCAGTCATCACTCTGAGTACCCTTTGAAACTGACCATTTTATGTGCTCGTTTCCTCACCCTGTGATGTGTCACATATCTTGGTGCTTGCAGAAAAGAAACTAAGAGAGAATTGTTCAGGAAGAGAGATGGACACAGTTTACATATGTGTTATCTCCTTTATTTCTGTCCTTGTGACATTATTTTTTCTGCTCATTTGCTTCTTCGAATGCATTATCAAGAAAAGCAAAGGTGTGGGTGTCAACCCTGAAGGCCACAGGACTGGTGGAGGACTTGGAGGTGGTGCTAATCCAGGCGTCACCATTACTGCAGTAGGTGATAGCGGCATGACTACTGGTTGTGCATGTGGGACTGGCAGCGGCAGTGGCATGGGTGGCTGTGGCGGCGGCGGTGGTGTTTGCTAAACTGGGCTTTGATAATATGCTAGCGGGTCCTGGAAGAGGAGGAAAAATAGTAAATAGAAGTGCCGAAATGGGAATAGAAAGGTCTTATGGTTTCTTTCTTTCTTTCTTATTTCCCCCCTAAATCATGTAGCATTTTGATAGTATGGATTTTAAATTTCAAAGGGAATTAAGTTATAATTCTGCTTTCTTGATGATAGCAGGTTTCACTGTTTTGCCCCTCACCAATTTCGTACTCTGCAATAAATTCCAATGCACTACACAAGCTTCTAATGAACTCCTTACCATCTAAACGGTGACTATGGGTCTGCTAGCTCCTCTTTATTTGTTTTTTTTCATCACTTTTTATTTTACATCCAATCTAGCTAGCATAAAAAACCTTGTTCATTCTCAATTCCCACAATTGTTGCATCGATCGCTTACTGAACCATGCAAACGTCTTACAAATTAATCATCTCTGGTAAAATGGCTTATTTTTGTTAGCCATTGCTCTGTTTTCTTTTTTTGGTTACAGATCATCGATAACATACATCTGCCATTTTCTGCTAAAACATAATTCTTGCATATATGCAAGATTTGGGAAATGTCCCTCTCATTTGCCATTTGTAACATACCAGCCTAATGCTTGCTGAAACAAGCAATTTGTTTTATTTTTAATCAAAGTGACATGGTTCTTACTTGTTGCATGCTCATAGTTTAGTTAAATGCTGTGCAAAAAGATGAGGATTAGGACCAATACTTCCAAATAGACAGGAAATTAACTTAATTATATCATTATTTCCACTTCTTATATTATATTCAAATGATGCATGATCGATATTGGAGTCAATGGAATTATACAATAAAATAAAGGGTTTGGTTTAACTAGAATCTGCAACATTCACTAGTTGTTTCTTTATTAAAGTAAGGCAGCCAGATTTTTGTGTTGTGAACCAATGAACGCTACTGGAAGCATGCAAGGCATGGGACGCGCCGTTGGGTTTGGAATTGTTTTTGCCTTGATGATGACTTGCTGATGGAACGGACGCACAGAGCATGGAGCAAGCCCCTTCAGCTTGAGCTTCAGCTTGAGCTTCAGCTTGAGTTCGGTTTACATGGTGTCTGAATACAAATTTACATGTAAAGAACTTTGTCTACTTAACAGAACGACATGAAGGGAAAAACCTCTCTTTGCGGTGAACCCCAACTAGTTTTGCAATTCAACAGAAACCCATTTCAAATTGAGTCTAAACCATTTCTGTGACTGTAACTCCTTACAAAACTGGAGAATCATCATAGGGTTTTCTTCTTGAGACCAGTAGTTAGCCACACCTGTCCTCAATTGTTATTTATATTGGATGACAAAGACCAGTACACATTTACATTTTAATAATCCTTTGCGCTTTCCTAATTTGATTTCCCATATTCTTGAAACAAAAATAGATCCAAACCAACGGGAGATAACTCCTATAAAACACTTGGTATTGACTTATACTAGAATCTGTTGTGGGTTTGGACGCCTTTATAGGTCATATTTATACACTTGGTAATGGATCAGGGTATGAGTTTAAACTCATTCCCTCTCTGTCTCAGGGAGACGATGTTAAATTGTACTTCAAAGATTTAAGAATTCTCACCTTTATTCCCTTATATATTGTGAGACAATTCATCATCAAAGTTGAATTTATGACTCTCCCGTTAATTCAACAGAATACAATTTTCACCAAATTAAACATATTAATATTAATAAATGTGTAAACCAAGCTTCTTTGGTGAACGTCCTGTCCCATGACCATCCATAAGCATGAACAAACATTACAAGAGGTCTGGTCCCTGCCTCATACCTCTGTCCAACGTTCAGTTGCCGTTTCTATTTTCAAACAATTTTGGGTCTTTCCCTTCTTAAAGATAAAAATAAGGTAAGATTATGGATTGGTGACCCAGAAAAGTTGCAGCTACGGCCTCCATATATCCATACACACACACACGTCATGCATCACCATTTTTAAATTCTGTTCACACTTTGAAAAAACAATTGAAGCTGCCTCGGTTGAGATCAGGGTTTGGATAGAAAAAGAAGATGGCGTGGCATTGCCCATGTCACTGGTAGAAATGGGTTTATCTGGTAGTGTTCTTATTAGGTCACAACAGATTAATTAGCTACTAATTTTCTCAAACAAAGGTTTACTCAAATCCTAGTGTTATAGGTCAAAAATTTTGTTTTAGAGGTCAATGAGACTAAACAATTTCTCATTTTACTCTTTGATTTTCTTCTTTCTATCTTTTAGTCTTTCCTTCAGTGAAACATTAATTTGAACAATTATGTGCAATGCCACCTGCATGGCAATAAATTTTTAGTTCAGACAATACTTGTGGATGTAACAAAGATTAACTTTAAGGTTAATATGTATTTAAGCATTTAGTTGATTGATTGGTACATGATCTTCTGTATAAAAAATAAGATTCAAGAAAAAAAAACTTTAAGGTTAATTACTTTATACATTAGTAGTAAAGTTCTTAAATTTCATAAAAAATAAAAGTTAAAGAGTTTCATATTAGATTGCGTTTAAAAAAATTTAAAAATTAATATAATTAAATAAAGGTGTGATAACAGTTTATCTCACTTATAAAGTTTAAAAAATTAATTGAGGTTAAAAAAACTACAAGTATCAAATAATTTAAGTAAAAAGTTGTAGCTTTTGACTTCGATGGTGTTGACAATGGGACAAGAGACTTAGCTCTATTTGCTATGTGAAAAATCATTGTTTACTAAGGAAAAGATAGCGACTCGTCACGCAGCAGCACCGTGTCAGGGCCGTATGGAAGAGAAGAAAGGAAATTAAGAAACCTGGACTGTAATGCTGTCCTTTTAGGACAAATGTGCGATGTTGCCCTATAAATACAATTGCAGTTTCTTAAATATGTGTGTCAATATAGTTGTTGTGAAGAAAGAAAGAGATGGGAAGTTTGCAGCAGCAAGCGACTGATCTTGCACTTCCAAAATCATGGGGTGGAGGGAGCAACCGTATAGCTACTGTCAATGTGGAGGGAAGCACCCCGGAATCCTTCCCTACTAATGGCAACAAAAACAGTGATCATGATCATGATCATGACCCAGATCATGAGGTCTGGTTTCTTTAAAATTTGATGCTTTCATTGATTTACAGCTAGCCTGAGTACGTATATATATTTGCTTTTCTTATTTTCTACTCGTTTGGTTTAATTCTGATCGATCTCTTTGATGTTCAGAAACCTGGATGGAAAAAGTTTTTGTCATTTGTAGGCCCTGGTTTCCTTGTCTCATTAGCTTATCTTGATCCTGGCAACCGTAAGTCCTCTCTCTCCTTCTCCCTCCTACCATCCCTCAATCTTTTTTCTGTGCCTGCGACTTGATTATGATCGTCATCTCTATGGTGTCATGCATGTCACAGTGGAAACTGACTTGCAAGCAGGAGCCAACCATGGATATGAGGTAAACTAAAGAGAGTGGTTACTCAATTTTTAACGAGTGAATAATGATATATAATGAGATGATTGACTGCAAGAATATCTTGCAAATTTCAGCTGCTGTGGGTGGTGTTAATTGGATTAGTGTTTGCTCTCATAATCCAGTCTCTTGCTGCTAATCTTGGAGTCAGCACTGGTAATTAATTAATTATCTCTGATCATTCTAATAATTAATGAACTTCATTTCTGATATATTTAACTTAGACACTTAACCCTGTTCGGAATTACTTCTTTCTTTCAGGCAAGCACTTGTCAGAATTGTGCAAGGTTGAGTACCCAGTATTGATCAAATATTGCCTGTGGTTGCTTGCAGAGCTTGCTGTAATAGCTGCTGATATTCCTGAAGGTGTCTAATTATTTCAGTTACCAAATTGTCCACTGATTTACCAAAAGAAATGTGCATGTGATATGAACCTTAAACCAAATAAACCACACGATCAGATTTTTTTTTTAATAACGAGAGAAAAGGAATTCGAACTCTATTTTATAAATAAAAAATTATACATTAATTAATAAGTTAAATATTTAAATATTTATATATAATTAAAATTATTATATACAAATTAAATGAAATTATTTCAACCTAAAGGCAAAATCATAGTCCAAACAATATAAAATTAAGAAACAGGCAACTTTTATGGTTTATGCTTACACATGTTGAACACTTGTCTTGATGCATTTAATTTGTGGCAGTGATTGGGACAGCCTTTGCATTAAACATACTGTTTCACGTCCCAGTCTGGGCTGGGGTTCTCTGCACTGGTCTAAGCACTCTCCTCCTCCTGGGCCTGCAAAGATATGGGGTAATCAAAGTCTACTTTGTATATCTAAATTGTCTTTTGGGTCAAACTTTTTTAAAATAATCTCATTTATAAATAAAGTGTTCCCCAATCTCTTTCATAAAATGTGCCTTTTTTCCCTTGATAATTCTCAATACAGTTTTCTGATTTTTATATTAACATTAGAAATTTTTTTAAAAATATTTTTACTATATTTAATGTCAAAAAAATAAAATTAAGAATCATGAAAATTAATATAAAATATAGGAATAAATGTTTTTAATAGATGTCTAGAAAAAAAAGTAAAGAGAACATATAATTTGATAAATATTTGGAAATATATATATTTTGATGAAAATTCCATTTGGAATAGGAAAATGTAATTTCAATGGAAAAATTGCTTGTTTTCCTACCATATTATAATAGTTAAACCCGGATTACTTGTGTTTTCCCTTGCGAAGATAAGCTAAATTACATATGCTACATAACTAATTTTTCTGAAAATCTACAGTGTTGATTCTACTAATTACCAAAAAAAACGTGACTTAAATTAAGTAGAAATTAAAGTAATTAATGAAATAATTGTATATTTCAACTTGTTGGTCATGATCAATTTGTTTATTATAACGTTTCTTCAACTTGTTAAATTTAGAATCATGGTGACAGAATCAAAGTGTAGATTAACATGGATTAGCATATGTTTAGTTTTAGCTTACCTTGATTTATAATTATGATTATGATTTTGTATTTTATGGTTATGATAGCACATACTTGTCCAAGTCCCACTTTGTCATACTAAACGTCTAAAGCTTATTTCAGAAAATTCTTTTCAGTTTTCATTCCTTGGTCTTATCCATATAAAGTAAAAAAAAAAATTACAAGTTATAATTTCCTTTTTAATTTTGGATTTTTTCATTAAAAAATTCTTAATTTTTACCCCTTCACACTCACGACAAATTGATAGTTGTATGATTTTTTTTAAT